TGAGAATTGTAAGTGGCGTCCCAGTGACCCCACACTACAGCATCCCACACTCTTTCTCAAGTCACGTGTTCAGCATCACTTGTATGTTGCTGTTGTTGTTCAGCTCAGCACAGCTGTTTCAGCAAACCAGAGGTGAGTTTTGTGGTGATTTCTGCGTCCAGTGTGAGTTTCTCCATGTGTTTGTGGAGAGAAGAGGAGGAAGTGGCCGTTCCTTGCCTTGACCATGCTCGCCCTGCTGTACACTCACACCTCACCAGCCTACCATACACTCACCACTGCCCACTCCTGCTGTGTTTTCTGCTGTTTGTCGTGTGAATTCATTGCCAGTGCTGTGTATCTGAGTGCCCGAGGCCACTCTAAGTCACATGGATCACAAAGCCACGTGGATCAGCAAGCCCAGTGGATCAGCAAGCCATGTAGATCAGCAAGCCATGTGGATCAGCAAGCCATGTGGATCAGCAAGCCATGTGAATCAGCAAGCCATGTGGATCAGCATGCCACTTAGATCCCGACACCATGTGGGGTGTGGACAAAGCCACGTGGATCTATGAGCCACGTGAGTTACCAATGCTGCTGCCCGACTTCATGACGTCACAATGTCTGCCTGATGTCACCTCGAGATGTCTGCTGACGTCACCTCGTGACGTCACGCCTGACATCACATCGAGTGTTTCAGTAATTATGCCAGTATTGTCGAGAAGATTGAGAGAAAATATATGTCGTGTGTTAATTAATTCCTTTCAGTGTTCTCACATGTTAGTGTATGGCTTAGTGTCAATTTTGTGCACAGAAAAGCATCATTTGCTAGTTAAGCCATGTTGTACCATATGTACCGCGGGTGTGTGTAAAGTTTTCCGTGTGTCCAGTGTGGTCTGCGGCCAGACCCCTGTGTAGCACCACTGTGTTACTGTCACCCAGTGCGACCAGCGCATTTGACAGCTGTATTAATCAGCTCTGAGTGTATGAGCCCCTTTGTACAGAAAGCTCTTATGCTTATCGCTCATAGATGTTCTGCATAATTGTACCTGCTACTATTCTCATTGAGATTTGTTTCACTTCACCTCCAGACCTTCAGAGTGCAGTTATATGTAGAGAAACAAGTCTGGGGATGCTTAGACTAACCTCTGCTATAGCTCAAACTGCCGAGAGAATGACACTCGTCAAGCGGCAGGCGCTGTGTCAGCCTCGTGTCACAAGCTTCAGTGAGCTCTTGCATAAAGATGATGTCACTTTGACTGCTAGCTTGCTCACTGCAGTCTGGTGTATGATGTTACAACTCCCAGATGTTTCGCCCAGTCGTCTCTGCCATGACTCGCTCCACGACTCACTCCATGCTTGCCGGCAGTGACAGCCCAGTGACAGTACCAGTCGAGAAGTGTCCTCCTGAGTCACTTGCCAGAAGTCCTGCCCAGTTGCTGAGTTTTGACGATACCTCACTCGAGGGCACCAGCATGTCGTGCCCCAGGTTGAGTGAAACCTGCAGTGACGATGACTGCTTCACCATTCTAGAGGAGACCGTACCCTGTTACGTCACAGCTCAGCCGCAACAATGTCTCCTGTGTTGCAGTATCTGTCCAGACACAGGAAGGCGTGCAGTGATGCCCTTCGACGCTCACTGCCTATGACCAAGATGTTTAGCACACCCCACATGTTTTATTTCTTCCCTCCCTTCAGGAAGTTTTTTTTTCCATGTCCATATGTATATACATGTTTTTATTTTGTGTTCTGTGCCCTGTTCCTACGAGAGAGAGACTGAGTTTTTTTTACCATTAGTATTGTCGAGGTAGGTGGCCGAGCATATGTAGACAGCCTGTACTGTCTGCACAGACAGCCTATGCTGTCTGCCAACTTAGTTCATATTTTGCAGCTCTCAGGTGCTGCCCTCTAGGCCTGCCCAAGTCAGTGGGACGCTGGTCCCACTCGCTCACTCAGCGGCCTAGCAGCAGTCAACATGTCCTACTAGCTCTCTCCCTTGTGGGCATGGCCCTACCGGGCCATGGGCCCAACACACAAGCCTTTGTACCCACCAAGACTTTGCAAATAAAGTAAAGAAGCCTCCGAAGACATGTATCATTGAACCCCGCTACCAAGACATCACCCAATAAAACCTATAAAACACAATGAGGTCAATGACATCATAAAGAGAACCCTTGCTACAGCTGGATGCCCAGCCGAGAGGGAGCCCCGATCACTAGCAGCCAACAATACTCACAACCCAGCAAACCACCCCGACGGGATCACCATCTATCCTTGGAAGAATGGCAAACTCTTAACATGGGACTATACCTGTGTGTCCACACTGGCTGACACCTACCTCCATCACAGTGTTTGGCGACAGGGAGGAGCTGCTGACCACAGGGATCCCAGTGGGATCAGAGACCTTGGGATCATGGGGAAAAAATGCCACACATTTCCTTAAAGAATTGGGTTCCAGACTCATCGACACCACCAGGGACCCAAGGGCAGCCACATTCATGTTCCAGCACCTCAGCATAGCTATCCAGAGGGGAAATGCTTGCTGTATACTTGGCTCGTCTCTGGCTTTGGAGGAGCTGGAGGAAATTCATGATCTTTAATACATTGTACCATTGTATTCATGTTTGTGTTTTTCTGCAAATGTATTCTTTTATTAATAAATTTCATCATAGAATATAAAATTACAGGGGTGGTAGGAGAAGAAAATATTCAAACAGCTCCAGGGAGAATCTTCAGTTTTCCCTGAGGTACGTTTATTGTCTTCTCTGAGGATGAGGGTCCCTATTCAGCTATATAGGTGTACTTCTATATATATATATATATATATATATATATATATATATATATATATATATATATATATATATTATGTATGTATATATATATATAATATATATATATATATAATATATATATATATATATATATATATATATATATATATATATATATATATATATATATATATATAGATGAGAGAAAGGTTCGTTTTCAAAGTCATTTCATCTAACCTGCCACATGCATTGGACAACGAAAGAGATTTGAAATGCTTAACAATTCGCAAACAGGCGAAATTATTTACAAACATTGTCTGTACGTCCACAGCAGGACTCGAACCTGCTAACTCTGTATCAGAGTAACCAGTACTCTACCACAGAACCAGTATATATATATATATATTATAATATATATATATATATTATATATATATATAATATATATATATATATATATATATATAATATATATATAATATATATAATACACACACACAACACATAAGTGAGTACACATATGCACAGTCGCAAGTTTGCATGATTTATTGTTTTTGTTTTTGTTTTTGTGCATTGTGAAATGTTCGTCCTTATTTGCTCAGTGAACATTTACTGAATACATGCTGATGATATATTCCAAGAACTCAAACTACAACAGCTGCTTATTTTCAAAGTTAACACATTTTTTATTTTCCTGCAAGAGGTCAGCGGAAGTACCCAAGCAGTATTGCCAAATTATCATTTCACAGCCGTGTGCTCCCCGCTACGGTGCATTCAGCAGGCAACTGATTATTGGTGAAAGAGCTTTTCCCTACTCCTAAATAATGCCGTAAGTGATGGCGTTTTGGGTACCCTGTTAAATATCGTTGTTTACGTGGGAAGTGACGTTCCTTGCAGACTGAGCAAGCAATAGTTAACTTGACTTGGTTATTTTTCCTACTGTAGAATTTACACGAACACTTATTTGCATGTATTGGCCAATGAGGTAACGTTGTGTTATACCTCACACTGTCATCAGTTTCCGCCTCATTTGGAAAACCTTCTTCACTTTCAGTCATGTTCGGGGCCATTGATAACATAATCAGTATTCCTGTGGGCTCTTGATCCTTAAAAAAAAAAAGTTCTCTGACATTTGTAGAATACAAAAGAACGCAATTTTAGCATTACAAAACCACAATTATATGCACATTTTTAATGTATCAATGTTCAGGGTCTGGGACGATATTCCATATCTCGGCAGCAAGTACTCAAGTTGTTCCTTTTTGTGTAGCCTAAGTTTCACTACATGGCATTATAACTTATAAACATGCATATGCACTTCATATGCATATCAAAACAGAGCTCAGACATTTAATTTTCATCTGAAGATAAATTCTGAAGCTTACCGTCATTCTGGAGTGGTGAAAAGGATTGAAATATAGGAACTTAACAAGTGAAAAGCCGTATGTAAAGTAAAAGGACACAAGTGCAACTAATGCGACATTTTATTGTGGCAACGTTTCGCTCTCCAGGAGCTTTATCAAGCTCCTGGAGAGCGAAACGTTGCCACAATAAAATGTCACATTAGTTGCACTTGTGTCCTTTTACTTTACATATTGTCGGTAATTCTACTAACTTTATTACAAGTGAAAAGCCGGCTGAAAGAGACACTAAGAAGAAAGTGTTAACATAATGCTCACCCGGCCACTGGTATGGGAGAACAAATAACCATGCGATGTATGACGTCGCTTTCTAGAAGTCTTTACTGCGATACCAACAATATATGTCTGCTTGATCAGGGCTAATTTCCCATTTATTTCGGAAAAGGAATATTAAAAGTCTAATTTCTCAAAGACTAAATTCCCTTCAGACTTGGGCCTGCAAGTCGGTTGTAATATGAAACGACATCAAAGGTTGAATAAAATTAAGGTATTCAGAGATTGGTCTAGGATTATTAATATGTCTAGGATAAAGTCAGAGAAGTCTAGGCCTATCACCCGAAGTTCAAAATCCATTACCCAGTTCAATTATAAATTAGAAAATCTCTTTTGAATCAGTTCAGTTGGATTCAAGCTGACACTAACAATCATTCTTCATCTTCAAACTCTAGTTACTACTTTCTATTTTCTTCCTTTTTCTCTTCATCCAGTTCACTATCATGCCGCCGACAGCACTAAAATATGTTGGCACCTACTTTTTTAGTGACAAACTGTGTTTGAAAGTAATTTGATAGGTACTGAGAGCTGAAAAATTAAGGTTCCGGTCACTTCGATGTATTACACATTCTCATTCATTCTGCAGGAGCGACGTCAGAAGCTTCAGCAGAGAGTTGGTTACGCTCTCCGCCACGCTGGAGTGGCCATCACTGTCACTTCGCTCACTGACTTCGGTGCTTTCATTATTGGTTCCACCACGGTGAGTCCTCACAACTCCGTCAGCGTTTAAATACGGTAAAACCACATTTGTACTGACTTAAGAAGTTTATCTTGAGTGTAAGTCTTGTCTTACTCATAGACCAGCCATGACCACCAGCCTGGCCTTTCCCAGGTACTGCCGGCTCTGAGATCTTTCTGCATCTATTCCGCCATCGGTATCGCCACCCTTTATGTCTTCCAGGCTACATTCTTCGTCGCCTGGTTCACCCTAGATCAGGCACGACTGGAAGGTAGGTACAGGCGAAGGTATATGAAGTAGCGTAAGAGCAAGGGGGTGTAGGAGGTAGGTGGCTAATACAGAGATAGGTGAAGATCAACTTATGGTCTACAACTAAGTTGCTTGCTAAGAGGGGATAAATTATAGGCTAGTAGTCGTTACTTCTGTTTGGAGATGAAATCGGAAGAATAAAATAGGTTTCTCTTCCCCACTCTTCCTCCTCCGGCCACACTGTTGGCATGAAAACAGTAGAACAAGCTACTCTCGTTGTGCATTCCATCATATTTTTTCATATTTATGTATTCCCTCTTAAACCATGTACTGCCTATTACCAAACATTTCTCAAAACATAATTCATTTACTCCTAACACTTCAAACATTTTTCTTATAACCTCCAACAGTATTTACCTCTGATTAGTTTTTTTTTTAAAGATTTTACCACCGAAGTGGCTAGTTTATTGTGCATCCCATATCCATCCGGTGGATGGTTAGCACAAGAGCATATGGATGCACATAAGGACTAGGAACTTAGCCCCAAAAAGGGTTAAGAGAAGTACATCTGGATTTATATCTATACAGTTCACTTATCTGTTACAAGCAAATTTAGGAAATTAGTTTAATATGTCTGGTATATTATTTTCATTAATAAGATATCTTGACGTGTCACATTAGTTATTATACTGTTTATGTCTATATTAAGCACATAGTGTTCAAGATGGTGACCATAGGGCTGGTCACATACTTTGCATTTGGTTTGATCATCTGTGTGTCTGTCAAACTGCCAGAAGTACTTATAACCAAGCTTAAGCCTGTCCACTATAACATCGGTCAATCTATTCACATTGCAAGTTGCTCCATAAACGTACTTATCTACGTTCATGTTATAGTGGATTATATATCTTTTCAGGCTTCTAAATGAATTCCTATAACATTCGGTTACATTATTTACTTCTTTCCTAATATTATTCCTAATGCTTGACACAAATACACCAAAGTTATATTATCCTGAAGGATAATTCTGCATTATCCTTCAGGGTACTTTTCTTAGCTAATTTATTAACTTTATCATGAAGGAGTAATCCAGCGTGGGATGGAATCCATAACAATTGTACATTAATTCCTTTTTCTTGGATTTTTGAGTATCTATACCTGGCTTCTCCAGTGAGCATGTTGTTAGCCATTATGTGATTCAAGAATCTTCAGTGAAGACACAGAATCATTAATAATCATAGTCAAGCTCAGTGTCTTAAGCTAGCTTTAGCGTCAGTTTGCAGTGTAGACGCCCAGTTGTTAATTCTTATGCCAACTCAAGAAAGTTCCTATCGTTCTTATCTAGAGAGGTGGCAATAAGAGCAGATGCAGCCCTGCCAGGTAGACTCCTGCTTAGAGCCATCAGTGTATACAACTTGTGATAAGTTATTACTACCAGTTAGGCAAGAAAGTTTTTCTTGAGCAGTTAGTCTTACGAGTGATTTAAGGAAGGGATTACTAATAATGAGCTTCTCGGGAGGGTCTTGCAGGTATGTGATATTAAATGAACACATCTTCCATGGAGGGGTGAAATGCTCTTGTTGTCTACAGTGATACAGTTCGTGCAAGTTATAAAACTTAATATAATTGCATGTTTTCACAATCCATTTAAATATGTGTATTTCTAGACATTTAGTAAGATTCACAGTGACAGTGTCTGGTTCATTTCTTAACATTCTAATACCAAGTATAGTAATCTTATTACTGATACCAAACACACCAAGCTCCTTGGTACAAACACACCAAGCTCCTTGGTACAAACACACCAAGCTCCTTGGTACAAACACACCAAGCTCCTTGGTGTGTTTTGTATCAATAGGTATTGGTAGACTTGCCTCTGTTGAGCTATAATATCACAAAACATTCTCTCATTTGTCTCTATTACCCAAACATTCACTTATCACGTGGTAGAATTTAAATAAACGTTCCTCTGACCTGCAGTCACATAAACATTTATTATAATTTTCTTCTGTCATTTCACTTTTATTCTAAACTATATATTTGTTGAATTTAAACATTTAACAATTATGCCTTATCTTACATCAATATTCTCATTATATTGTTATACTGAAAATCTTTCAAATATATTTCAAACAATTAAGACGTTCACTATAAATTTGGCCATCAATACCTCATGCACTATTAAAAATGTTTTGTTAAAAAAAATTGTGCAAGTTCGTTGGTTGTCTTTCAGTCAGTGCAAAATTCGCTATTAATTCCATGCTTAATATTGTCAAAGAATTAAGAATAAGAATTAAGCTTCATCAATATAGTGTTAGAATTTGCTAACTTTGATGTGGAAGCTTTACCGTTTGAAGCTTTTTCTTTATCTAACTTGAGTAATACTTAAAACCATTGTCGTTTCTATATAATTTATTGACAAATATAATGAACTGGAGCATCTTTGATATAATATTGACAACATTTTCAATAGTTTCGGGTTACACAAAATTGTCGGATTCTTAGATCAAAACTTAAATTTTATTGAAATGATGCCGCCAGAGGCTCATTTGAACGTTCAGCCTTCGAGGCATGGATGGTATGGTCCTTAATGCTGGTGAAGAGATTATTATCCATAAAATTAGAACTATTCTCTCATTTCTTGACTCAAATATAATCACTGACCCATATCAAAGTTACCGATGTATTGCAGAAACACTCGTATTTTGGTTTCGCTTAAATATTATAGGAATATTTCAGAATGTTAAATGAATCTTATAATCTATGTTACGTATGTCGACGTTGCGGTCTTGAACCATTTAACTTGTCATAGTGATTATGTAATTATTTTATGCATAATTTGTAAAGAGTGCAGAAAATGGAGATCGCACCGTGTCAGAACCCAAGAACTTGTCATTTAAGTGATGTCGCATCTTACAGACAAGCGCAACGGACTCGTATGGTGTTACCAACACAAGGACTGGACGCCTAATTCTTGCTCCCAGAGAGACCTCTGTCAGACCTTTTTTGACAAGTTTTATTCCAGGGTTGTGCTCATGAAACCAATCAAGGTAAGACTTTCTTGCATTAATCCTAGAAAAATCTGCACATGTGCAGACCTAGGTACAGAAATTGCTTTATAAGTATGCAAACTCAAGTATATTATTATTATAATAAAAAAGAAGCACTAAGCCACAAGGGCTATACAGCGCTGCAGGGTAGGGAAGGAAGCGAGGGTATTGGGCGGCAGAAGGGAGGAGGGATGATCAGTAGGTTACAGAAAACAGCGTGGCAGGGGATAGTGCGGGAGAAGAGGGTAGCAAGAGATTGAGGTAGAAAGGGCTGAAGATATCATCATCAGAGTTTGTGGAGTAAGTCAGTTGTTGTCAAAAAGCCAATGAGAGAGTCCGGATGAAAGGTGGGTCCATCAGCGAGAAGGGAAGGTAAAGAGAGAATAGTAGAGCGAAGACGACGTTGGAGGTAAAGTGGGCAGTCTAACAGAATGTGGCTGACAGATAATAGAACCTGACAATTCTCATAGGAGCAGGGCGCCTCTCCATGAGACATCCATGATTAAGACGAGTATGGCCAATGCGAAGGCGGGAGAGAGTAGTCTCCCAACCTCGACACTGGTGACAAGAAGATGGCCAGTAACCTATACTCGGTTTAATAGAACAAAGTTTGCTATTGAGCAAAGCAGACCAACGTTGTTGCCAACGGGTGTAAAGGTGGGTAGCTATTACAGCAAAATAGTACGAAACTGGAACACCTCTATATGAAATTGGTAGGTCATGTACTGCTGACCACGCAGCAGTGTCTGCCTGTTCATTTAAAAGTTCGTCAACATGACCAGGGACCCAACAAAAAACAATATCTTTATGCTTGGTAGGGATACGGCATAGCCAAAGTTGGATACAGAGAACTAGGGGGTGAGGTGTATCAAATTTCCTTATAGCCTGTAAAGCACTAAGGGAGTCTGAGACATTCTCAAATGATGACACAGGCGTAGATGCGATAAGTATAAGTGCTGCAAGAATGGCATACCATTCAGCAGTAAAACTGCTTGCCGAAGATAGTAAATGCCCTCGCCGATGCTGTCCGGAAACACTGCTGCGAATCTGATGCCGTCAGAAGATTTAGAGCCATCTGTGTACACGGCGATGGCATGAGAATGAGAGTGGAAGTGATCAAGAAAAAGAGAGCGGGAAGCCACCGTAGGCAGTTGGGCTTTCAAGCAAGGGAGTGAGAAAGAACAGACCCGAACAGCTGGAACTTCCCAGGGGGGTAGGGAAACGTGAGATGCTACATGAACATATAAAGGCAGTAACTGAAGGGAAGACAAGAGCGAATGTTGGTGAAGAGAGAAGGGACGGGGCAAACAGGGGCGGCGAACAAATAATGTCTACTAATATCAGTGACCATTCTATAAATGGAAGGATTGCGGAGATCGTGAGAGCGCACATAGTAGTGAAGGCAATGGGCATCATGGCGACCAGACAAAGATGGAACATTGGCTTCTGCATAGAAGCTCTCAACAGGGAATGAGCGAAAAGCACCAAGGCATAAACGTAATCCTTGGTGATAGATGGGGTTAAGGCTAGAGAGAGTAGCAGGAGAGGCTGCTGAATAGATCTGGTCACCATAATCGAGTTTCGATAAAATGTGGACTGAATGTAGGCGAAGGAGAGTTCGACGATCAGCTCCCCATGAAAGATGAGCAAGGGTCTTAAGAAGGTTCAGCCGGCTGTGACAAGCTGCCTTTAGAGAGGCAATGTGGGGTTTCCAGGATAACCTATGGTCAAAGAGAAGGCCTAGAAACCTGACTGTATCACGTTCAGGGATACGGAAGCCATAGAGGTACAAAGGATGATCGGAGATGACAGAGCGTCTAGTGAAAGTAATTTGGTGAGTTTTGGTACTGGAAAATATAAACCCATGCGTAGTGGCCCAATTGGAAACACGGTCGACTGCATGCTGGAGAGAAACTGTAATGATGTGACAGTCAGCGCCTGCACAAGCAATAGTGAAGTCATCTACATAGAGTGATGACCAAATATTAGATGGAAGAACAGAGGCCAAATCATTTATAGCAAGGAGAAAAAGTGTTGTGCTCAGAACACATCCCTGAGGGACACCTTCTGCTTGGACAAAATCCGGGGAGAGCACATTATTGACTCGAACACGGAAATGTCTGTCAGTTAAAAAGTTCTTAAGGAAAGGTGGTAGATTGCCTTGGAGGCCTAAGGAGTAGGCTTGGGCCAAAATATTATACCTCCAAGTTGTGTCGTATGCCTTCTCAAGGTCAAAAAATATGGCAGTAACTGAGTGATTATTTGCAAAGACATTACGAACATACGTATCCAAGCGTAGTAAGGGGTCTATGGTAGAATGGCCCTTATGAAAGCCATATTGACGAGTGGAGAGACTTGTGTGCGTCTCTAAATTCCACATTAAACGTCTATTTACCAGACGTTCCATCACTTTGCAGACTGCACTGGTAAGAGCAATGGGACGATAGTGGGAGGCTTCATGTCCCGTAGTCCCCATTTTGCGGAAAGGGAGAACAATGACAGATTTCCACAGCTGTGGAAGAACTCCTTGTGACCAAATAAGATTGAAAAGGCATAAGAGGACTGCAAGGGCTGACTGATGTAAATGTTGTAACATACGAATATGAATGTCGTCGGGCCCAGCTGTCGATGATGGGCAAGCTGAGAGTGCTGCCTCCAGTTCCTGAAGTGTAAAAGGCACATTATACTGCTCTTCTCTGAGAGAAGAAAAGTCCAAGGGTGCTAACTCTCTGGAAGACTTTGAGGAAAGTAAAAAGGGGCAGAAATGGAGCCCCAGACAAATACAGACCAAAGATGATTGCCAATTTCAATGGCAACATCTAGAGGGTTTGCTATATCAACACCGGCAACCTACAGAATAGGAGCCGGGTCAGAATATTTACCACTCAATTTCCGTACTTTTTTCCAGACTGCACTCATAGAGGAAGCAGAGGTGATGGTGGAGGCATAATCTCACCAGAAAGAGCGTTTAGCATCATGGATGACACGGCGAGCGATCGCACACTTCTGCTTAAAATCAAGAAGTCTCTCAGTGGTTCTATTATACCGGTACCTGCCCCACGCAGCGTGTTTCAAATGTACTGCACGAGCAAAAGCAGGAGACCACCAAGGCACGCATTTCTGAGAATGCCTGCCTGAGGTTTGGGGTATAGAATGAGAAGCTGCAGTTAAAACTGAGGACGATGGAGGACGAAGAAGGAACCTCACTAAAAACAGTTAGGTGTGAGTAAAGGTCCCAATTTGCCCGATCAAATTGCCAGCGTGGGTTACAAAGAGGTGGTGAATATGAAGGGGAAGTAAGAATGATTGGAAAATGATCGCTGTCATGTAAATCCGGGAGAACAGATCGGGTGAAGTCTAGTGCGGCAGAGGAAGAGCAGACTGAGAGATCGATGCAAGAGAGAGTATGAGGACGAGAATCAAAATGGGTGTGAGTACCTGTATTTAAAACATTGAGGGGGTGGGAAGCAAGAAAACCTCTAGCTGAATGCCACGGGAATCACAGTGAGACCCCCCCAGAGGAAATGATGGACACAGAAGATACAAAGAACAGAGTGTATACCACCTATGCAGGTGGATATGGGCTGCTGTGTAATGCAGCAAAGTACAAACAAATAGCTGATGGTACGGAATATAAGTGCGTAGAAGAAGGGCACTTTCGTTAAAGGTCCCATCAGGAAAAGGATCCGAAGAATACAATAAATTATAGCCTGAGATGGGATAGATAACAATAGAGTGTAATTTTGGTTCTTGTAAGCAAACACCAACAGGGAAAAATTGGGAGAGCAACGTCTGAAGGTCACTCCGATTACCCCTGAGGCCACGTATATTCCACTGTAAATAGGCCATGATTGGCAATGATAAAGATACTAGAAATCTGCAGGTAAGGGTACTTACAGATTAGAGGGGTTAGAAAAGTCCATATGCGGTGGCAGCGAAGGAACGGTGCGCTGTGAAGAAAGGAGTTGTGCAGATGGAGAAGAGGAAAGAAAAGGAACAGAGAGAGCGGATCAGTGTCCATTGATGGTTTGGTCTCTGCAATTTATTCAGAGATTGCTTCAAGTGTTTCGGAGTTCAGAGACGTTGTATGGGAGACAATGTTGGAGATGGAAGGAGGAGGAGTTTGAGAGAAGATCGGAACTGTAATGGACTGTACCAAGGTGGGGGGGGCGAAAGGGTGGAGGGAACTGGAGAAGTGTGGGGGGGGGGAGAAGAGGCAGAAACCTGGGAGGTGGCAGAAGAGGAAGAAACTTGGGACGGGACAGGGGTAGGAAGGCACAGTACGAGGAGGAGGATGAACCTCCACGCTTGTAACAGAGCCAGTGAAAGGAGAAGACCCAGGTACAGAGACCGGGAAGGTAAAATGTGGAGGTGGATGAAGATAAAGGAGGGGTTGAAGGAGATTTTTTGGACTTCTGAGAAACAGAGGGACGATTGGGAGGAGGTGTCGTACGAGGTCTTGTCGATATCGGGGTTTGTGAGGGAGAACACGAAGAAGTGAGAACAGACTGAGGTGTTGAAGTAGGGATGTCTGAGCCCAGGACAGCAAAAGAATTAGATACAGGAGTGACTATGGGACTGGCAGCCGCAGAGCAGGCTGCAGAAGATGGGACCCCAGAAGTGGCGGGACGTTTTGAAACACGAGAATAAGAAACACGGGGTAGTCTCCCTTGGAGGTGGAGATGAGAAACTGCCATAGCATAAGGGAGACCTTCTGCCTCTTTGAGGCAACAAATTTCCCACTCATTTAAGTAGACCTGGCAATGGCGAGAGTACGAAGGGTGAGCCTCATGACAAGGCAAGAGGGAGGTCGACCGCAAGACATATTAGAATGGTCATCAGTACCACAGACTGGGCATTTGGCTATAGATCTGCAATATTTTGCTGGGTGGCCAAATCGCCAGCAATTTCTACACTGTTGCGGTGTAGGGATCACCTTCCAAACTTGTAACCTATGTCCTGCTACATAAACAGAGGATGGGAGTTCATGGCTGTCAAAA